TGAGCCGCCCTCGCCCTCGCCCTCACCAAGCACCCAACACCCCCCTAGAAGCCCCCTCGTAATACCCCCGGAAATTGATTCTCTAATGTATTTATTGCCATCGGATGCAAACACAAAATTTATGATGGCATTAAGCTAATGTTAAATGTTAAATGCAAAAATTTTCAAATGCAAAAAAAAAACAAATTAGAATAATGATAAATTTATAGTGTTAGTTGTAATTTACACGAAGCACAACATAACCACCCCCGATTCCGTATAATTCCGATACCGATATATTGAATATTTTCCCCTGCTGGTTTTATATTAGCATGGTTAATTATCATTTTCTGCTGTCAGTTTAGCTGCAACGCATTTGTTTCTCACTTCCCATTTTTTTTTATCGAACAACAAACGACTAATGATAGCTAAGCGATTCCGATCTTGATGGATTGACTTTTGGTAGGAGGGGTCTACTACATTGTTAAGCCTTATATACTATATGCATGTGCAGTCCAAAGAGTCTAAAATGTCATTAACTAAACTCTTACTCTTTAAAACTAATTCCCTAAGATATATAATATTTTTAATGTTCCAATTAGGGAAATAGCTATATTAAATAATGAAATAAATGAAAATATGACACCAAGAAAGGGCCACATATTCATGTGATTTTTTAATAATTTTAATTATTAGTATCTTATTTAAATTATCTTTAAAATCGGTTTGAATACTTTTTTACATAATATTCTACAACTAAATACAAGCGCCCCCAATGGCCAAGCTAGAAACTATGAAACTAAAACTTCGCATGTAGATGGCGCTAGAAAACCAAAATATTGAAGCTATTTCATTAAAACTATTGAAAATTAAAGGAAACTAGAGTGTAAATAATAAATTGCGAAAATGTAGACTTTTTTTTAAATAAATGTTCATTAAATTTCATATTTTAAAAATTTTTTTTAATGAATAAAAGTAACCGGAACCATAAACATTGCAGTATATGACACATGCTGTTTCCATTAATTTCTATGTTTTAAATAAAATTCTAAAGCTACCACAATGTTTGGATTATGTATTCGTTTCTCATTTTTTATCCAATAAAAAAAGGAATGTTCTTTTTTTGTGAATTCTTCGAACTATAAAACAGGAGTAACGAAGCAAGTAATCGCATGGATGCAAAGAAGCCACCACATGTTGTCGGAGATACAGATACATTTGAAGACGATGAGCAAGTCACTCGACCGCCGTATCCATCAGATACGCACACCAGTGGCACAGCATGAAGATACTTTCAAAAGGGGGTTTGAAATAACAAGTCAGGTTCTTATTTCAAATCATTAAAGAATAATTTTTGGATAGATATTATTTAAGGAAGAATCCCCTTTAACTAAGCCACTGACCGGATAAGTGAATTTCACATCCGGATATCTTAGAGATGCCTCAGAAAATAAGGTTACTATTGAAGTTTTAAATTAGTATACAGTTTTATTTTTAATAATAAATTCTTACAATATTTTTTATTAATTATTTTTGTCATCAAATAAATTCAATTATCAAAAAAATTCTATTGATCACTGTGAACATATAATATTCTTCGCATGCCTGACCGTTTAAGAACCAGCTGCGAGAGTATCTGAGAAAAACGTATCTGAGAGATACTTTCTTAGCGCAAAGGTAGCCCCCGTCGCCGGTCGTCTGACATGCTCACTCTCTCTTTAAACACTTACTACTCTCTCTCTCTTCGATCGGTTCGCACGCCACAGTAGATACAAATTATATTCAATATGTTGGAAAAAATTTATTTTAAAAATATAATACAAAAAATAATTTCTTTGACTATTATTTAAATACAAAGATACATTTTACACTCTTATTTTGAAAGGGTTTTTACACCTATTCATAATATTTTGTTAAAAAATTGCTTTTAGCAATAAAAACTAGAACACTAAGACATTTTAAATATTTCCAAAGTTCTAAAACTGTATTAATATTAAAGCTTTAGTCTTAGTTACTAATTTTAAATAAAATGCGAGTGTGTTAATTTAATATTGTTCCTAATATTTTTAAGAATTATTAAAATGAAGCAAACTTTTCATTCTTAAATGTTTTGTAAATTGTACAAATAAATAATAATAACTCCCAAATTTGTAGATCTATGGAGATATAGAAGAAAACCAAAATTTCTTTAGCTCATTGGCTTTCGGAAAAATGATCAACAGTTGGCTGTACTTGGCTTCACTGTACCGGCTCTCCGGGCAAGCATGTTGGCTGCGTTAGCGACTGTTGCCGTTGGGTTAGTTCTTGGACGGAACTCGACGTTTTTTGACGTTTTTTCGAGGTTTTTTTTTTGTGTTCCCCTCGGAATAAACGCAACAAATATAGTTTATTGTTAAATTAAAATAATCCAAATTAATAGAAGTGAAAATGCAAGTGAAGAAATGGTTTTTGTTTAATAACAAGTCGGCTTTAATTATTTAACATTTTTCGAGTGTGCGTGTTTGGCGAGAGTTGCTGGCTTCAATATACTTATATGTGTATATGGTTTATATATATTTTTTTAATGCTTTTCGTGAACCGACCTTTGCGAACTTATCGTCGTAACAGCCAACAAACAACAATAACAACAACAACAACAACACAGGCTAATAATAATTAAACAGCGTGTGTTGTATGTGCTCACTCGTCTCGAGTGTGTGTGTGATTTTGTGAGCATAAGAGAGTGTATGTTGTGTTTTTTTTTTTTTGCGGAGACACACACACACACACACCAAAAAAACAACAACAACAAAAAATACAACAAAAAAAAAAGCCATAAAAAACGTATACTAATTGTCAACAGTCGAGCAAGTTGTTTAAATTGCAAACGCAACGTTCAGTAACGAGGAGATACTTTGATTTTGAGATACTTCATCCCAGAGATACATTTAGTCTTATTGGAAACCACAACTGTAGATACTTCCTATTGGAGTTAATTCAGTCGATCATCCGATCGATTTTTTTTGCCTTCGCACGCGAATTGCAAGGCCCAAACAAAATCAAGTCCAGACCAAGTTAAGGCCAAAATTTGCTAACTGGGCGATAATATTCAGAAACGTGATCGGTTGGAAACAAAAACAGGTGAGTTAAACTCAATTAATTCGGGTTGACATGTGTCTTTAAAGTGGTTTAAAAAAAATCAGCTTCAAAAAACCAAAGATATAGAAATATTAAAATCCTATAATAATCCTCACTGGAACTGAAAATATCAGCCTACAGATAGATCCATTCCAAAAGATTAAAACGAAAATTCAGAAAATCACAAAAATTTTGCTGTCAAGGTCTATAGAGACCTCGAGGTCTGACTTATAATCCCAAACACTTGGGCAAGTTCATTAGACCCAATGAACGTCTGCCGGATTACGGATTATACTTTTTGATTTCCAAGTATAGTATGGCTATACCCTTCCACCGGCACTACTACGACATACTCCCGATGATAAGACTCGGCAATGGCTCGGCAAAAAATAGAAAAAAAAAATTTCAATAAATCAGATTGGTATAAGCCTTATCATTGAGAGAGAGACTATCAAGAGTATGGTACTATCTGGATGGTTCAACAAACCGAAACCGAAACCGAAATCGAAATCGTTGGGGGAAAATATAGCTAAAACCGATATATACCATCGGAGCTAGTTGCATAATGGAGATACGCACCTGAACAGGTGAGTCAGGCCCAATAGGAAGAAGGTCAGACCCATAGAGGTGTGCAAAATTATACAAAAAAAAAAAAAAAAGAAATAAAAATAAGAACCGAAGAACCTAATAATAATGGAACTAATGGAATGAACACAGGCACTGTTTTCTTTATGTTATTTTGCTCTAGTTTACGTTTGCCGGCCTTTGATTTGTAAACCAAATAGTTTCCCCGATATGTTTGTTTATTTCATTAGCATTTCGGACCGGATTCGTATTGGAGAAGTAAACTCAGCGCCCGGGTCTACGCTTTTTTGGGGGTCTCTTTTGGGGAGAATTGGTATAGATTTTGTTTTTAAATCTTAAAAAATACTATTCTCGAAAAAGGTGTACATTTTCGGGCTCTCAATTGCCGCCGGGCAGACGGACAAAATGGTCCAATTGCCCGACATTCAATTTAGCAAAATGCAAACACCAACGCGATCGCCTCAATTTTATAAATAGACACTCGTCTGGAAGTCTGAGCTCTCGCAGCGTTTATTTTCAAGCGCGACTCAAGTATTATTATGCCCCGCACCTTAAAAAAAAATATACATACATATGTATATTTTAAGTGCACTACCGAACCACCAGTGCACCAAAGCACCAGAGCACCAGACCTTCCAGACCACCGGACACCCACCCAGTGCGTTCGACTAATGGAAAACAATTCCAGGAAGCCATGAGTATAGGTTATTACCCAGTCCCCAATCCCCCCTGCTTTAAAAGTGCCCCTCAAATATTTGCCATCGTATTTGGAATTACTCAGCCAGGGAAAACTATTTCAACCTTTTGAAATCAATCTTCCCCTGAATCGGATTTCCAAGTAAAATTAAGAAAATGGCTGAAAAGTCTTGGGTCGGTTAGAGGAGAAAATAATGAAATATAATTCTAAAAACTATGTATTCTTTATTTTAAGTTAAATATTAAAATATATAGAAATTAGGAACTGCAAAGCATATAAAAGAAATGCATTGTTTAAAAGTTATCTTTATTTAAAAAGTATTTTATACTTTTTGGAAAAAGTATATACATATACCCTTTATAGAAAACATACAGCAACGAATCAAATTTAATAAATTTTTAAATCTTTTCTTGGATATTTCAAACATTATTTTAAATTTAAAATTATTTAAAATCTTTAACTATTTTTTTAACAAACTTTTAACGCCACTTAAGTACCTCTTAATCAGTTTTTAAGAATATAAGAATATAGGGGTAATTTTATTGAGTATTTTCTAATATTTCCGGCACGTGGCCATAATTTAAGTGCCCCTCTAATTTTGATTTGGTTTCTCCCCCAGATTCTCCCCTAGTTTCCAGCACGCTAGACCCTTTCCCTCGCCGTACATGTATAAAATCCGGATACGGATACTAATCCGGAATAAAACGATGATATTTCAAAATACAATGACGAGGGGAAAGACCCTGAAGATAGCCTTCTTTGGCATACTCCTGGGCCTGTCCATCGGAACCGGACTGAAGACCTACCAGGCTTTGGAGATCGTTAAACGATGCGGCATCCGGCCCACAAATCAAAAGACTCCGGAGGAGATCATTGGCCTCAGCGAGGAGGATACCATCCAGAATTCACAGAGAAATCTCGTCTTTGTGGGCGTGATGACGGCCAAGAATTTTCTGGAGGGCCGGGCCCGGGCGGTATATGATACCTGGGGCAAGGAGGTGCCCGGACGGATAGCATTCTTCAGCTCGGAGGGCAGCTACTCCGAGGACCTGCCGGTGGTGAGCCTCAAGAACGTCGACGATCGCTATCCGCCGCAAAAGAAGTCCTTCATGATGCTGTACTACATGTACGAGCACTACATCGATCGGTTCGAGTGGTTCATCCGGGCGGACGACGATGTCTACATAGAGCCGGACAAGCTGGAGCGATTCCTGCGCTCCATCGACAGCTCCAAGCCGCAGTTCATCGGCCAGGCCGGGAAGGGCAACAGCGAGGAGTTCGGTCTACTGTCCCTGGAGTTCGACGAGAACTTCTGCATGGGCGGTCCAGGCGTGATCCTCAGCAGCGAGACCCTCCGTCGGGTAGCCCCTCACATCCCCACCTGCCTGAAGAACCTCTACAGCACCCACGAGGACGTGGAGGTCGGCAGGTGTGTCCAGAAGTTTGCCGGCATTCCCTGCACCTGGAATTACGAGGTAAGAGATTACGGATGAACTGAAACTAAAATTATACTGAGACGTTCCTGGGGATTCCTTTGTGGCCCATAACCATGTCTACATTTTTGACACTTACCAGCCGATCCATGAGCGCGATACCTTAAACGATTTCTAGATCGATTCTTCGTGAATCTGCATCAAAACATTGAAACAAAATCGAATTTGAAATTTTTTCAAAATTTTCCATGGACTCCCTTCAAAAATCACGAAATCCGTGGGGCGGCAAAATATGTCACTTGGGAGGACTATATCTTTGTCAATTTTAATCCGATCCTTAAGCGGGATACCTTAAACGATTTCTAGATCGATTCTTAGTTAATCTGCATCAAAACATTGAAGCAAAATCAAATTTGAAATTTTTTCAAAATTTTCCATGGACTCCCTTCAAAAATCACGAAATCCGTGGGGCGGCAAAGTCTCACACTTGGGAAGACTATATCTTTGTCAGTTCTAATCCGATACTCAAGCGGGATACCTTAAACGATTTCTAGATCGATTCTTCGTGAATCTGCATCAAAACATTGAAACAAAATCGAATTTGACATTTTTTCAAAATTTTCCATGGACTCCCTTCAAAAATCACGAAATCCGCGGGGCGGCCAAATACGCCACTTGGGAAGACTATATCTTTGTCAGTTTCAATCCGATCCTTAAGCGGGATACCTTCAACGATTTCTAGATCGATTCTTAGTAAATCTGCATCAAAACATTGAAGCAAAATCAAATTTGAAATTTTTTCAAAATTTTCCATGGACTCCCTTCAAAAATCACGAAATCCGTGGGGCGGCAAAGTCTCACACTTGGGAAGACTATATCTTTGTCAGTTTCGATCCGACCCTTAAGCGGGATACCTTAAACGATTTCTAGATCGATTCTTAGTAAATCTGCATCAAAATATTAAAGCAAAATCGAATTTGAAATTTTTTCAAAATTTTCCATGGACTCCCTTCAAAAATCACGAAATCCGTGGGGCGGCAAAATATGCCACTTGGGAAGACTATATCTTTGTCAGTTTCAATCCGATCCTTAAGCGGGATACCTTCAACGATTTCTAGATCGATTCTTAGTTAATCTGCATCAAAACATTGAAGCAAAATCGAGTTTGAAATTTTTTCAAAATTTTCCATGGACTCCCTTCAAAAATCACGAAATCCGCGGGGCGGCCAAATACGCCACTTGGGAAGACTATATCTTTGTCAGTTTCAATCCGATCCTTAAGCGGGATACCTTCAACGATTTCTAGATCGATTCTTAGTAAATCTGCATCAAAACATTGAAGCAAAATCAAATTTGAAATTTTTTCAAAATTTTCCATGGACTCCCTTCAAAAATCACGAAATCCGTGGGGCGGCAAAGTCTCACACTTGGGAAGACTATATCTTTGTCAGTTTCGATCCGACCCTTAAGCGGGATACCTTAAACGATTTCTAGATCGATTCTTAGTAAATCTGCATCAAAATATTAAAGCAAAATCGAATTTGAAATTTTTTCAAAATTTTCCATGGACTCCCTTCAAAAATCACGAAATCCGTGGGGCAGCAAAATATGCCACTTGGGAAGACTATATCTTTGTCAGTTTCAATCCGATCCTTAAGCGGGATACCTTCAACGATTTCTAGATCGATTCTTAGTAAATCTGCATCAAAATATTAAAGCAAAATCGAATTTGAAATTTTTTCAAAATTTTCCATGGACTCCCTTCAAAAATCACGAAATCCGTGGGGCGGCAAAGTCTCACACTTGGGAAGACTATATCTTTGTCAGTTTCAATCCAATCCTTAAGAGGGATACCTTAAACGATTTCTAGATCAATTCTTAGTAAGTCTGCATCAAAACATTGAAGCAAAATCAAATTTGAAATTTTTTCAAAATTTTCCATGGACTCCCTTCAAAAATCACGAAATCCGTGGGGCGGCAAGGTCTTACACTTGGGAAGACTATATCTTTGTCAATTTTAATCCGATCCTCAAGCGGGATACCTTCAACGATTTCTAGATCCATTCTTAGTAAATCTGCATCAAAACATTGAAACAAAATCGAATTTGAAATTTTTTCAAAATTTTCCATGGACTCCCTTCAAAAATCACGAAATCCGTGGGGCGGGAAAATATGTCACTTGGGAGGACTATATCTTTGTCAATTTTAATCCGATCCTCAAGCGGGATACCTTCAACGATTTCTAGATCCATTCTTAGTAAATCTGCATCAAAACATTGAAACAAAATCGAATTTGAAATTTTTTCAAAATTTTCCATGGACTCCCTTCAAAAATCACGAAATCCGTGGGGCGGCAAAATATGTCACTTGGGAGGACTATATCTTTGTCAATTTTAATCCGATCCTTAAGCGGGATACCTTAAACGATTTCTAGATCGATTCTTAGTTAATCTGCATCAAAACATTGAAGCAAAATCGAATTTGAAATTTTTTCAAAATTTTCCATGGACTCCCTTCAAAAATCACGAAATCCGTGGGGCGGCAAAGTCTCACACTTGGGAAGACTATATCTTTGTCAGTTCTAATCCGATACTCAAGCGGGATACCTTAAACGATTTCTAGATCGATTCTTCGTGAATCTGCATCAAAACATTGAAACAAAATCGAATTTGACATTTTTTCAAAATTTTCCATGGACTCCCTTCAAAAATCACGAAATCCGCGGGGCGGCCAAATACGCCACTTGGGAAGACTATATCTTTGTCAGTTTCAATCCGATCCTTAAGCGGGATACCTTAAACGATTTCTAGATCGATTCTTAGTTAATCTGCATCAAAACATTGAAGCAAAATCGAGTTTGAAATTTTTTCAAAATTTTCCATGGACTCCCTTCAAAAATCACGAAATCCGCGGGGCGGCCAAATACGCCACTTGGGAAGACTATATCTTTGTCAGTTTCAATCCGATCCTTAAGCGGGATACCTTCAACGATTTCTAGATCGATTCTTAGTAAATCTGCATCAAAATATTAAAGCAAAATCGAATTTGAAATTTTTTCAAAATTTTCCATGGACTCCCTTCAAAAATCACGAAATCCGTGGGGCGGCAAAGTCTCACACTTGGGAAGACTATATCTTTGTCAGTTTCGATCCGACCCTTAAGCGGGATACCTTAAACGATTTCTAGATCGATTCTTAGTAAATCTGCATCAAAATATTAAAGCAAAATCGAATTTGAAATTTTTTCAAAATTTTCCATGGACTCCCTTCAAAAATCACGAAATCCGTGGGGCGGCAAAATATGCCACTTGGGAAGACTATATCTTTGTCAGTTTCAATCCGATCCTTAAGCGGGATACCTTAAACGATTTCTAGATCGATTCTTAGTTAATCTGCATCAAAACATTGAAGCAAAATCGAGTTTGAAATTTTTTCAAAATTTTCCATGGACTCCCTTCAAAAATCACGAAATCCGTGGGGCGGCAAAATATGCCACTTGGGAAGACTATATCTTTGTCAGTTTCAATCCGATCCTTAAGCGGGATACCTTCAACGATTTCTAGATCGATTCTTAGTAAATCTGCATCAAAACATTGAAGCAAAATCGAATTTGAAATTTTTTCAAAATTTTCCATGGACTCCCTTCAAAAATCACGAAATCCGTGGGGCGGCAAAGTCTCACACTTGGGAAGACTATATCTTTGTCAGTTTCAATACAATCCTTAAGAGGGATACCTTAAACGATTTCTAGATCAATTCTTAGTAAGTCTGCATCAAAACATTGAAGCAAAATCAAATTTGAAATTTTTTCAAAATTTTCCATGGACTCCCTTCAAAAATCACGAAATCCGTGGGGCGGCAAAGTCTCACACTTGGGAAGACTATATCTTTGTCAGTTTCGATCCGACCCTTAAGCGGGATACCTTAAACGATTTCTAGATCGATTCTTAGTAAATCTGCATCAAAATATTAAAGCAAAATCGAATTTGAAATTTTTTCAAAATTTTCCATGGACTCCCTTCAAAAATCACGAAATCCGTGGGGCGGCAAAGTCTCACACTTGGGAAGACTATATCTTTGTCAGTTTCAATCCGATCCTTAAGCGGGATACCTTCAACGATTTCTAGATCAATTCTTAGTAAGTCTGCATCAAAACATTGAAGCAAAATCAAATTTGAAATTTTTTCAAAATTTTCCATGGACTCCCTTCAAAAATCACGAAATCCGTGGGGCAGCCAAATATGCCACTTGGGAAGACTATATCTTTGTCAGTTTCAATCCGATCCTTAAGCGGGATACCTTCAACGATTTCTAGATCAATTCTTAGTAAGTCTGCATCAAAACATTGAAGCAAAATCAAATTTGAAATTTTTTCAAAATTTTCCATGGACTCCCTTTAAAAATCACGAAATCCGTGGGGCCCCAAAATATGCCACTTGGAAAGACTATATCTTTGTCAGTTTCAATCCGATCCTTAAGCGGGATACCTTCAACGATTTCTAGATCAATTCTTAGTAAGTCTGCATCAAAACATTGAAGCAAAATCAAATTTGAAATTTTTTCAAAATTTTCCATGGACTCCCTTTAAAAATCACGAAATCCGTGGGGCCCCAAAATATGCCACTTGGGAAGACTATATCTTTGTCAGTTTCAATCCAATCCTTAAGAGGGATACCTTAAACGATTTCTAGATCAATTCTTAGTAAGTCTGCATCAAAACATTGAAGCAAAATCAAATTTGAAATTTTTTCAAAATTTTCCTTGGACTCCCTTAAAAAATAACGAAATCCGTGGGGCGACAAAATATGCCACTTGGGAAGACTATATCTTTGTCAGTTTTGATCCGATCCGTAAGCGGGATACCTTAAACGGTTTCTAGATCGATTCTCCGCAAATCTGCATCAAAACATTGAAGCAAAATCGAATTTGAAATTTTTTCAAAATTTTCCATGGACTCCCTTCAAAAATCACGAAATCCGTGGGGCAGCCAAATATGCCACTTGGGAAGACTATATCTTTGCAAGTTTTGATCCGATCAGTAAGCGAGATACCTTAAACGATTTTTAGATCGATTCTTAGTGAATCTGCATCAACACTTTTGAGCAACCCCCCCTTTGCTAATTCTTATGGGAACCTTTTGTAGAATACCTTAAAAGGGCACCTTGAAGAAATCGAAATATCCCAAAACCATGAATATATCTTGGCCAATATCTATCGGATCCTTTATCGAAAAAGTCTATATATCTATTAATTCCATTCCCCTCAGATGCAGTACATCCTGAGACACAACTCGAGTGGAAGGAACGCATACACCGGAAAACTGAAGCGCAAGGAAATCCACAACGCCATCACCCTGCATCCGATTAAACAGGCTCCGTTGATGTACCGACTGCACTCCTACGTACAGGTGGGTCTCGATAAGAGAACTATGCCTTATAACATAAAGATTCTATATTCTTGTACCTTACAGGGACTGAAGGCGGAGGAAATGCGGCAGGAATCGCTGCTCCTGCATCGGGATATCAAGCGAATGGCCTCGTACCTTGAAGTTCCGGACGAGAGCACCTACATGATGCCCAGTGTATCCCCGGAAAGTGACTCCAACAAGCGGCACTTCCAGGATCACAACATACTGGGTGAGTGGATCACTTTAAACAATGTATTTTGCAAAAAAAAAAACGGATTACGAACGAAAATTTACACATTTCTGTAAAAGTTAAGAAAAGATATAGAAAATGATAACTAGCCGGGCACCTGGTCCTGGTGGCAGCATGTCAGGCCATCGCCCATGCAGGCGGCATAGCCCATCAGGTGGGGCAGGAGGTTCTGCTCCATGACGCCGCCGAATAGATGAGCCTGAGGACCAATGGCAAAAACGGCCACATCCTCGCCAGAATGGACGCCCTTCCGTCCTCGAATATAGCTGGGCGTATAGGAGGCTGTGGAGGGGATTGGATTTACCCGGGATTTCGTCAAGCTGTTGGCTTTACTTACTTGGGCCCAGGGTCTTTGAAGGACTCTCCCTTTTGCCGTCCTTGTCCAGGCTCTGCCACTTGCCAATCGCATAATTCAAGGTGCTGTACGGCACTCCGTCCAGGTCCCGCTGCTGTTCGTCCATGCCCAAGATGGATGTGCCCCTGCGGGAGTAGCCGGCCATGGACAGGGCGTGCGAGTGATCCGCCGTGACCACGACCAGAGTCTCCTTCGGATCTATCATCTTGAGGACTGTCTCCACAGCGGCATCAAACTCCAGCATCTCATCAAGGGCATAGCCTACCCGTGTCTCATGATGACCGTGATCTATGCGCCCGCCCTCGATGAAGACCACATAGCCATGGTCTTCTCCAGTTTCCTGAGCTTTCTCCGCCAGTTTCTTGATGGCGGCCGCGGACATATCCTTCAGTCTGGGCTGATCCCGGTGGGAGGCCAAATGGTAGGGCATGTGGTTGTCGCTAAAGATGCCCATCACTTTTCCGGCACTGTTGCTGCAGTTCCTCAGCTCCGCCATGTTGCGAGCGAAGCAGCCATCGGGATTCTCTTCCCGCCAGAGAGCCAATAGATCCTTGCCGTCGCGACGCTCTGCTCTAAATTTTCCCAGTCCACCGCCAAGGATAACCTGAAAGTACACTGGTTACCATAGAATACCCTTCCAATAGCCATAATCTCACCTCGAAATTCCTGCCGGGCTCCTCCTCCACCAATTGGCGGGCAATTTCCAGTTCCTCGACCCGCTTTGGAACGTGGGCGTACGACCCAGCCGGACTGGCGTCCGTCACTCGGGTGGTGGTCACCACTCCGGTGGCCTTGCCCGCTTTCTGGGCCCACAGAAGCAACGATTCCACCGGCTCGCCGCTAGCGCTCTGCCCCACAGCGCCACTGAGGGTCTTCACTCCGCCCAGGTAGGCGGTGGCCGTGCAGGCCGAGTCCGGGGTCTGCTCGTCGACGCAGTACGTCTTGCACAGGCCGGCGAAGGGGAACTGTTCCACCGCCAGACGGGAGTCCTCGCCGCGCCTCCCCTGCCGCTGTCCCTTGAGGATGCGGCCCGCTGTCATGGTGGTAACCGACAGTCCATCGCCCAGTAGTATCACCACGTTCTTGGCCCGCCGACTGTCGGTGGTGTAGTCTCGTGTCCTAGCCAGCCGCTCCTTCAGTTGCTCCTGGGCCTGGCGGCGCCAGAAGCCAGCCGATTCTTCTCCTTCTTCTGATGATTCTTTGAGTGCGGCATAGGCAGCGTTGAGAAGGGTCAGCAGCAGGAGCTGGAGGATCAGCCAGTGTTTGATTTGGGACGACATTGTGGAATCCTAAACCGAAACCGATTCCGATCTGACTGCCGGTGGCACTGACTGGGAATGGCAGTTATAAAGGTCCGACTCGGTTGAAGGGATATGGCACAGCACCTATGATCCAAAAACCTGAAAATAGAAGCCCCATGGGGAGCTAGAACCCCCAGTTGGTGACCCCATTTCCCCCTAGATAAGACCTCGAACTGGAAAGTTAAGATACCTTTCGGCCTGGAACTATAACATGTTTCCATTCTACTTACAGGAATCAGTCCAGAGCTGAACAAATTTGTGCCGAGCAGTACGGAGGATCTCCTGGACTGGTCCTTCATTGCCCGCAGCCTGTACTCGGCCAGCTCGGCTAATCCCAAGCAGAAGATCGACTCAGCCATGCGGGAGGGACTCGAGGATGTGATCACCGAGGTGATGGAGAACATCAACAACTATTCCCGGCAACGGGGTAGGGTCATAGAGTTCCGGGAACTGCTCTACGGCTACCACCGTTTGGACGCCCTCCACGGCCAGGATCTGATCCTCGATCTGTTGCTCATCTACAAGAAGTACAGCGGCAAGAAGATGACGGTGCCGGTGAGAAGGCATCTCTACGTCCAGCGGGCCTTCACGGGGATCTTCGTCAAGGAGGTGGACGAGGACTTCTACAATGTAACCTTGCATCAGAGTGAGTAGGAGGATCTGCGGATGAAATGAAGAGATAATCTTAATGCTTCCACGAATAGGTTTGTTGGGCAGCCTCCTTCAGAATGGTATGGCCCGGCTGAGCAGTCACTTCACCATGCCCAGTGGCCTCCTGCCGCCCACGGAGGACAAGATCGTGTTCGTCCTGCCCATTGCCTGGCGACTGGGAACCTTCGAGCGCTTCCTGCGCACCTACGAGAGGATCTGCATCCGCGGTGAGCAGCACTGCGACCTGCTGGTGGTGATATTCGGCGCGCCCGAGGAGCTGGGCGATCACATGCAGCTCCTCCACGACCTGCATGCCCGGCACGTCTACCAGCAGGTCAACTGGATACAGAGAAGTGGCCCCTTCTCGCGAGGAGTGGCCCTGGATGTGGCAGCGAGATCCTCGTACATCCGGCAGGAGGACATCATTCTGTTCATCGACGTGGATATGGTGTTTGAGGTGGAGACCCTGCAGCGGGTGAGGATGCACACGCAGCGCGGCAAGCAGGTGTATCTGCCGATCGTCTTCAGCCAGTACGATCCGCAGAGGAGGGGCAGCGAGGCGCCGTGGGAGGGGGAGTCGCCCCGGATCGATGACGAGAGCGGTTACTTCAGGCAGTTCGGTTTTGGGATATGCGCCATTTACAAGTCCGACATCCTGGACGAGGACATCAACGGCTTCGACAAGGACATCACCGGCTGGGGGCTGGAGGACGTCAAGTTCCTGGAGAAGATTGTGCGCGTGGGCACCCGCCAATGGGGCTTCCTGGCCAACACCGCCGAGCTCTCGTCCGATTACAACGAGGCCGCCGAGCAGTGGCGTCGCCTGACCGTGTTCCGTGCTCCGGATCCCACGCTGGTCCACATCTACCATGACATTAGCTGCGACATCCAGCTGGACGCGCCGCAGTACAACATGTGCCTGGGCACCAAAGCCAACTCCATCGGCAGCACCCGCCTGATGGAGCAGCTATTCCACAGCAGTCCAGAGAATGTCCAGTTCGCCAGCGACTTTAATCGCCAGAAACAGCAGGCCCGGTGATGATCCATGTGTCAGGGGCACTCCCGCCAGCCGGCCAGCTATCCTGCCACCATAGTATTATCCAAAACGTTTCCTAGGCTAGTGTTTCGATCCGATATGCCAAATAACTGCTGTAGTCCTTAGTCCTTAGTCCCTAGTAGGGTAGACCAACCGGGCTCAACCGAAACTCAGTGATGGAGAGGATTAGGATTTGTGAGGAACTATATTTAAGCTGTTGACCAATGAAAGAGAATACAATTCAATATAAATATTTTATAATATTTTCTAGGGCATTTACTACCACTTACCCATGTAGATACTCTCCTCCATCACTACACCATAGTTAGTTGCTAGAATTAAATATTAAATCTGTAATTTAGACTAAAGGGAGCACTGTATTCCACTTAAAAAAAACACATCTAGGGTGAATAAACAATGTCTTTATTCAAATTAAGATACAACTTGTTTGATTATTCTCAGTGGAAGGCATACGTTTCAGTACGTACTCTTATGTCTAAATGCTATGAAGGATAAAGCCTCGCTTTCGGCAGTGCCCTAGTTCTAGATAGTCTTCTCTCTTCTTTTGGTGAGGTTTTATGGTTATCTACTTCTTTTCTTTTTAGATCCGATCGACAGATCCGTGTCTAAACGTAGTCAACGGGCTTGATGCCCAGCACGGAGAGTGCCTGGTTCATCACCACACGCACAGCCTTAACGAGAGTGATCCTGGCGTACAGGATCGGTACTAGTTGATCGCGCTTCTGCACAAGCACCTTCTTCTGGCGATAGTAGCGACTGAAGACGGTGGCCAAGTTCTCCAGATAACGGATCAGCAGATGAACACCCACCAGTCCATGCTCCAACTGGTCAATGGTAGACTCCAATACCTCCGGAAAGTTAAGCAGACATGCAAAAATCAACTGCCAATCCATCTGGAACAGGGAATCAGATATAGCAACGAGGTATACATGCTAAGTCAAGGCATCTTACCTCATCCTCCAAGATGCTGAGATCAATCATCTCCAGCGGCGGCAAGGGATCATAGATACCAGCCTTCACCTGACTGTCAAAGCTGCGCAACAATGTCTCGATACGGGCCGAGTTGTACAGAATGTAGGAGGCGCCCTTGGAGCTGCCCATTCCGCTGCGGACAACACAGGCCGCCGAGGCATGGCGCACCGAGAACAGATCCACAATCACAGCGGCCTCTCCGAGGCGGCGCATCAATCCCTCCTGGCTGCCGAAGCCAACCGGACGCACGCCACTGCGGTGCACGGCCATCAAGCGCATGTGAGTGGACCGTATTCTGACATGAAAAAGAAAGAGAAGGAGAATGATTGTTTGTCCAATTGGATCGGAATCGGATTGGCAAAACTCACTTCAAATAGTCCTCCAGATCCAAGTCGGTAGCTGTTTTGGTGCCGGGCTCCAGAACCGGTCCGCTAACCAGGCAGACATGACCCTGACGCTGCGTCAAGGTGCATCGTTGGGCCTCCACGTTCACCAGGAGCGAATCGGCCGAAGCATCGGAGCCAGTCACCATGCGCCAGTTGGAGCATTCCACCAAACGCTTTACAATCTCGTAAAGCTTCTTGAGGCGGTAGTGACGCAGCTCAATTGGACCATCGGGCTGGCCCATATTGGCGCCAAGATTCAGAGACAAGACCAGCGTCTTATTGGACTTCTCGGAATGGCCATAGTTCATGCCCTGCTTGAGAATCGTTGTCAAGGCATAACGGATGACCGGAGCGCGGTCCAAACTAAAACCGTAGCGGTCCATCTGCAACTCGAACATGCACTTAATCGGCATCAGCCAATTCTTGGAAATTTCCATCAAATCTTCGCGCTGCTGCGGATCCTCCATGAGGCGTTCCTGGTCGCGACGCAACTTGCAGCCCAGCCTCTGGCAGAAGCTCTCCCAGTGTTGGGCATTTGTGGCAATGCTCAGGTCGCCGGATTCAGCGAAATCATCAATGTGGTAGCGAATAATCTCGCCGCAGCGTCGAGGACGCAATGGACCAACGGCTCCATTCTGCGGATCTTTCCATTCGGCGAAGTAGTCGAATATCATCGTGTTGATCTTTGCGAACGGATTGGACTCCATTTTCAGACAAAAATTATGGTTAAACGGGAAAACACAAACGCACAAATGCCGGGAAAAAAGCCAAAAGAATTTGAAAAAATCAAGTTCGTCGGAACAGGACAAGAACGATCCGGGCTATTGTTATCGATAGGCAATCAGACGCTTCTAACAAGAAATTCATATCGATATTTTCTTGCCGATATATTTAAATTGAAAATGGTTTTTTTTTTTCTTAAATATTTTCATTAAAATACCCATTACGGTTTTGTTTTAAAATTATTTATTTTAAAGCAAACCATATTATAGGTTTATAAACCTTATTATATAAACCAAACCTTATTATTTTTATACAAAAATTTATCGATATGCCGATACTTTGTATCAAGTATAAATAATTATACATTAAATAAATTCCCTTATGGGCGCAGCATCTTTGAAATAAATTAAAACATTTTTTAATTTAATTTTTAGGTCAAAAATGTAAATATATAGCAAGAAAACTTTAGCAAGAAAATTTGGCGCGCACAGTGTCTTTCCGTGACACGTGGTTCGTGACGCCACGAAATCGGAATATTTTCCCATCCCTAGCGCGACCCAACGAACAGAAATTTGTGTTTTTGTGAAAATTGGCTTTAGACCTGCTAAAGCTTCAGCGCCAGATATAAATTCCGTTGAGAGGAATGTCCGGAAAGCTGGAGCAGCGGTTGGTCGACCTGGGCACCGCCTGCCTGGTCTGCCTCAGGGACGAGCCCGTGGAGACCTGTTCCATCTATGGGCGCGACCCTGAGCCACCGCATCTGCGAATCGTGGACAAGATTCGGAGCTGCACAAGCCTCCAGCTAGGAGATAACTTGACAACCTGGCCGGACAAGATCTGCCGGCAATGCCACATGGAACTGACGGTGACATATCGCTTCCGGGAGAAGTGCGCAGCTGTGGAGGTGCTGCGTCAGGAGCAGCAGCTTAAAATGAACCTCGAACAGCACGATGTGCGGCTGCCCCGGACGCTGAAAATTGAGCGCGTCGAACTGGACCTGGAGCCGGGCTCTTCCAGTGGCGCCACCACCCTGACGGAAGTAATACAGTCGGTGGAAGACGGGCCGCCATACACCTTTCAGGACGAAAGCGGAGACATCAGCCTACTGCCGGATGCCTCTGGAACTCTAGTTTTGTCCCTTAACGCGTCCCTCGACTCCTCCGATTTAGTCAAACAAGAATCCAGGGATAAAACGTGCTCCGAAGAAGATGAAGACAAATTGCTGGCTATGCCGCCTTGGGAGGAGGATCACACTCCGGAACACCTTTACGAGATCGAGACGCAGCTGGAGAGCTTGGTGGGTAGTCCGACATTGCCACAGCCGCCTGCCCAACCGACTTCGAGTCCACCGAGGAAGCGACCCTATCGTCGCGGTACTCCCGCCAAGTATAATGATTGCCAGCCCGAATCCTCTGCAACCGTTCCGCCCGTTCCCTCCACAAAACGCCGGCATACCGAGCGCTCTCCAAAGATATGTGATGTGTGCGGGAACACGTACAAGTACCAGCACGCCTTGAATGCCCATATGCGGCGTCATAATAACGATCGTCCATATCCGTGCGAGGTGTGCCAGAAGGCGTTCATTTCGAACGTGGAGCTGCGCCGGCACATGCGTGTCCACACCGGCCAGAAGCCGTACAGCTGCCGCTTCTGTGACCGCAGCTTTTCCGACTTTGGCAGCAGCAAGAAGCACGAACGCATCCACACCGGGGAGCGTCCGTACGTGTGCGAGGTGTGCCAGAAGGGATTCGCCTACGCCCACGTCCTCTCCGTCCACCGGCGCACGCACACCGGCAAGAAGCAGTTCCAGTGCCCGCACTGCGTCAAGGGATTCACCAAGAAGAGCTATCTGGCCGCCCACATGGCGCAGCACGGCGGCCTGACGCTGGAAGAAGCTGGGTCGGGCACCAAGACCAATGCCCTGGGAAATACCAACAATGTGCGCAAGGAGACGTTTATCCTGGACTCGGTCGTTTTGGGGGATGAGAGCAAGGTCCTGGAGGAGTGTATCGTCACCAATGACTTTATGTTCAAGGACCAGGACGACTCGCGCGAGGAGGATGCAGAGAACTGCGATGCAAGCGATCCGAATGGCCAAGCAGTGCTGGAACACCACCGGTCGTCGTATCCTGGCGGGGATTTCGTTGACGTGGACGGGTATCAGGGTGTGGGTGATCTACTGGATGGCGGGGAGTTTGTCGACGATGCCAAGTATCTGATCGATTAGCACTACACTAACTAGCATACTAGCATGAGTATTAGCCCAGAACCCACCCAAATCCCTAGACCTAGTTAGTCGCAGCAGATAGTAAGATAGTTCTAAGTCTCTACTGTATCTGTACAAAAAAAATAAACTGAGAACGTATCCAATAAGTAATTATTTATGTGTTGACTTTTTAGTTTTTTTTTTAAATTAATTTCGAAAGGGTTTTTCTTTTTGTTTCAATTAGTTTTTAATTTGTAAATACACTCTTGTAATTAGTGATTAGTCATTAACTATTTAAATTTTAAAATATAAATATATATATTGTATAAAACATAGAGCATCTCTTAAAATCGGAAGAGTAGTACATTTTCTAGATTTATTTTTTAAAGAATTTCTGAAATTCAATTAGACATTATTTTTATTTGTTTTAACTTTGAAAATTAAATATTATTGTTTTTAAAAATCTAGAAATTCTTAGAGAAACATTTACAACCTAGTTGAGACACATGCAGATTAACATTTTTTTAATTTTTTATATTATTTTTTAAAAAAAGAGAATTTACATTATTTTGTTTGGCAGACAATTATTTAATAATAACCCGTTTAACTATCAACATTCCGAAAAGTCTCCAAAAAAATACATACATCAACTCTTATTGGGACAATCTGTGTCAACAAAAGGCAACGAAAGATGGCCTAAAGCGATCGGTTCGGTTGGGTTCTTAGTTTTTCTGCCACGAAATCCAAAAAAATTCATATTTCGGCTAGTGCGGACCAACTGTGCAAACGGCGGGCACAGTGAACACCCAGTAAGACAGCCGCTTCTTCTTCTTCTTCTAAATTCTAACTAGTTTATTGGATGCTCGGGGTTAGTCAAGTATCATGTTTCTCGAACGATCTCTCTTAATGGAACGGGGCAATTGTTCTAGGTTTTGGTCGTCGTAGCCGGCAACCACTGTACCGGCCACCGGCTATTCAATGCTGACGAGACGATGATGATGCTGTGGCCACGTTCTTGAACCGGTTTTTCCGGAGAACTGGAGCTTGGAGCGACGGAACTACGGCGGGGTCAACGCTTCTTCGGGTCGGATGGTCGGGAGTCGGATGACGGGTGTCGGAGGAGAAATGTTTTCGGGGGGAGGCGAGGAGGAGCGAGGAATATATGTTTATAACAGCCACATGGAAACAGAAACATTCTAATCCTCAAAGGTGATGCGGCCGGGGCCGTGGTTCTTCATGTAGCGACGATAGGCCTTGTAACGCGGATTCTCGGCCAACTTCTTCTTCATCTCCTCATCCTGCTCGGCCTTCCAGGCGGTAAAGTTCTCACGCTTCCACAGCTCCAGGTGGAGGTACTCCTCCAGCTGTTTCTCCTCCTGTGCCTCAAACTGGTGCTGTCCCATGCCCAAGTGGCGGCGGATCAGATAGAGCTTCTGCTCCCGACCATACGGCTGCTTCATCAGCGTATACCGCCAGAACCACTGGGCATGCCACGCTATAAACGACAGCAGGGTATACGGGCAGATGAGCAACTGCACCCAGAGCACGTCCCACAGCGTTGGCTTGGCGTAGCCACCCTTCACGTCCATCTTCTCGGCGATCACCCGCCGTACAATGCGCTCCAGCTCCTCCCGCTGATCAGTCTTTGACATCTTGTTCTTGCCCTTCTTCTGGATGCGCTCCTGAATCTCGTCCCGGGCAATGTCCAGAGCCTGGTTGCGGTACTTGGGCACCGTGGCGAAGTATTTAATGGCCGAGTCGTACCGCTGCCAGCCGGAGTAGTATTGGATAACGGAGACAATGGTCAACACCACCACGATCACCACGCGCACATCCACCTTGGGAGCCACGCGGCGCCTGTAGTAGCGGTAGTAGTGGGCATAGTAGGCATCCGGGTTGTCCAACATGTAGTCGTAATCTGTTCGCGACTCCTCATCGCGCAGGATCTCGTAGGCAGTGGCCACCAACTTGAACTGGACCTCGGCGGCCGCCTTTGCCTCAGCGCCGCGATGTAAATCGGGATGGTACTTCCTGGCCAGCTGTCGGTAGGACTTGCCGATCTCCGACTTGGAGGACTCACGGGTGACGCCCAGGACATCGTAGCAGTTCTCCTTGCCGCAGTAAAGACCCTCCAGTAGTCCCAGCGCCACGCCGGGCAGCAGGAGGAGCACCAGCAGCAGCTTCTGCATCTTTCTCTGTGGGGGATCAGGGGTTGGGGAAACACTCTGAGCTGAACCTTGTGCAACTGGTGGCGGTCGCGTTGGCGCTGGAAGTCCGTCTGTCCGGCTGCGGAGTTGGCCGCTCGTTAATAGGGTTGTTGATAATATATCAGAATGTCAGCTTATCGATATTATTAGAATAAGAACTATATATCGCAAAACACACATAAATATCGGATAAAGAGACATATAATGTTTTTATTTTATGTCATTATTAACAATTATATTGTAAGTTAAGAGTTAAATATTTAAATAAATATATTTAAAAAAAAATAATCTTTTATAAACAATTATAATCAGATAAAAAATATATAACACCTTGAGTTTACAAAAATTATTTCAATAATCATTAAACATGAAATTCGAAACTTCAGAATGTAAGTAAAAAATATCCAACAAATAAAATTTATTTTAATTTATCCCTTAAATTACACTGAAATAAAGAAAATTTTTAATTCATCGCCAATAGTGTCTTCCCGCGCACGCTGAGGCATGTGTTTCGTCACCCATTAATGCCATCCACAGCGATAGTTTTGAAAACAAAATCTATCGCAACTTACCCATCCCTGGTTTTTCCCGCTTAACGAGCATTTTGGTTTGAACTTTTGGCGACAAATAAGTCTAAATTTTTTTTTTGCTATGGATTTTTATAGCCTAGTAGATAAATTTATTGCTTCATTAACGGATACCACAAAATGCTTTAGGGAGCTGCTCGATGGTAAGCTGCTAATCTGCTCTTTACTTTTTATTAATTCCCAGAATATTCATTTCCTAGGAACCCCCATAGATTACAGGGTTAAGATCGAAGAAATGCATAGAAGTAGCATGCAAAAGCGTGTGGAATACGCAGAAGCCTTAATCGAGATGAAGATCCAGCACCGGGAAGTGAGTAAGTGCTTGGAGGAGTGTTATAAGAACTGCACCTCCTTTAAAGGATTCAAGATCGACTTTGAAAAGCGCAAAGCTGCATTGTTGAAACAAAAGACAAATGTAAAGGAACTGGCAGAGTTCAAGCAAGTGAAGAAAGCCATCGAGGAGGCGGCCAAACTCTATATCCCGCCAACGAATGGGGATGGCAAAAACTACGCCGAATTTGTATACTCCATATTCGACCCGTGGACGATGGAGGTGATGCTTAATCCCGTCCGCAATAAGAAATGTGGTCATGTCTACCAGCGCGAATCTGTCATGAGAATCCTTGGTGATAGCGTTAGCACCCGCTGCCCGATTGAGGGTTGCACAAACAAGAGCTTTTTGCACCCGGACATTCTGATCAAGGATGAGGATTTTCGTCAGAAGGTGCTCCGCGAGTTGGAAATGGATGATGAAATGATTGAGTTAGTGGAAGTTGATGAAGAGGATAGTGAGTGACGGAGAATGCTAGTTTTGTAAAGGCCAACAAAACAGCATATTTTTTTGAATTTTTTTTTTTTTTTATTTTTTTCTTAGAATTATATTTAAATTACGAAACGTGTACAAGACAATACTTGTAAACTCCCAGGAGGAGGTACATACACACATATTTTAAGTTTATATTTTTTGCATCTCATTATATTTACTTCTTAATGTAATATTGAAATTACAAAATGTTTTTTGTTTAAATAAAATTATGTTTATCATATATGGACTTTCTTTTAATCATAATCATTAAAATCTATAAGCTTGAAGCTTGAACAAAAATGCGGGAAAATAAAAGGCCATCACTATTTCGATAAGTCGATAATTGAACCACTTGAATTGTCACCACTAAAACCTGCAGCAAAACAAAAGAAGGAAAACTACTAATTTTAATCGTTTAAGAGATTATTTGGCGTAAACCTGGGGCAAAGCCGTTGCTAAATCGGCCGGGAAAGCTGCAAGTATCAATGCTGGACTCTACGGTAACCAACATGGCAGTTTTCCTATATCCTACGATGGGCCTGTGATGGAGCGCTAGCTCCTGGCGGCCAGAATGTGGCTTTTTAGGCGCCGGTGGCGTTCCGCGCTGGCAATCATATGTGGGGCATGCATCTTGCTGTTGTTAGCAATCGAACTATTTATAGTGGCTGGCGTAAGTAACGGCCAGGACTGGCAGAGCCCGGGATACTTTTTCTTATCTTTTGTAACCATAATTTTTAATAGGGCGGCTTCGGAGCACTGCACCAGGACGAGTACGTGGTCCGCACGCGTCCTTTGTTGTGGACGCAACAACTTCTACCGCCAGAGGAGCAGCTCAATCGAACTCGTGCCGACCCCGAGGCGCGGTGCCGCAACTCTGTCCAAGGCCGCCAGCTGCTGGCCGACGAGAGGGGATTCGTGTGCCGACGCGAGGAGCTACTGCCAAGCGGTTGCTGCAATCCAGAACTACCCGGCATCGGTTACTATAGCTGCCTTTCCTGCAATGTCACCACCCACTGTTGCGGTATTTACGAATACTGCGTCTCCTGTTGCCTGCATCCCGGAAAGCAGCCGCTGCTGGAACAGGTACTTCGCTCAGCCAACACGCCCAAATACATCTTCACAAAGGTCGCCGATCACTTTGAACTGTGCCTCGTGAAATGCCGAACGAACTCACACTCTGTGCAGCATGAGAACCAGTACCGCGATCCAGCGGCCAAACACTGTTATGGACTGACGGAGGCCCACGAGTCGCAGAAGAACGTGGCCCCGAAGGTAGCCGCCGCCGGCAGCTGATCTCCCTGTGGAGATTACTTTCTGAGATTTCACTGAGCAGATCCACTATCACTGCACTAGTTTTAAGATATCGACAAGTCAGGGTGTACACTGTCATGCTTTTTACAGAAAGTGCAATATTCAACACTCTCTAAACTATTGTTAGCCATAACAAGCTCTAGGTATCTTTTTTTATAGCCAGATTATGTTCTAATGCTCGTCGGCAGAGTCCTCCTGTTTCAATAGCTCTGTAATATTGTAAATTGCCATGCAATATGACTCTAGAATGGGTGGAACAAAAATATAGCTTATAAGAACCCCATGTCCAAAAGATAATGACGAAAAAGGTAGTTCTCCTCGATTTTTGTAAATAGCTAGTAGACAGTTTTTTTTTTCTAGAACCGAACAAATGCTTTAGCTCTCTGTTTTTTATACTATATTTAATATATTAACTTAATTTATTGTTGTTGAATATGAATAGGAATATATTGTAAATATTTCAGAGCTCACCAAGCAGCCGAAACGTAATGTTTATAAGAAATATTTATTCTTGGGTCGAAAATGTAAATAAATCTGCAAGAACGTGGTTATATTACTAGAATTTCAAATGGAACACCCCCCTAGAGGATCGGAGGCTAGGATCTATTCGGTGAAGGGCTCCTGGTGGACTACTTGACCCTCGATCCCATAGAAAATGGTATCGTTCTTGACATAGCCCCATGCCATGCGTCGCGATGTGAAGCTAATGCCGATGTCACCGCTGGGAGCCACAACGATGGCACCTCCAGTGCCGCCCAGCCGGCGGGTCATCTCGCGACACTCCTGATCGGCGGCAGCCTGCGGGGACAGGCCTTTGCAGTCCATGGCGGCCAGGATGCGTTGGGCCAGGTTGTAGCGCATTATCGTCTCGCCGTGTCCAGTCGTAGAGACGCCGCCCCGCATGTTATCCGCATAGGTGCCACTGCCCAGAATGGGTGTATCTCCGATTCGTCCCGGCCACTTGCCGGTAATGCCGCCCGTTGACGTCCCCACCACGATATGGCCCTCGGAATTGATGGCGACGGCCCCGACAGTCTCGCCACTGGGATCCGTTTTGGGGCCACTGTTCAGGGGCTTCTCCTCGGCCAGTTCTGTGCGCGCAAAGAACGGATCCTTGCCCTGGGCGACCTGCTCTTGGAATTCCTGGAGCGTGAAGCGGGCTCCCTCGGTGACCAGAGCGTTTGGCGGCAGCTTCTCACTGCCCGTGGCCAGGGCCAGCTCTAGGGCCGCTTCGCCGCCAAGGAACGTGTGCCTCTTCTTCTCTATCAGCCGCCTGGACACCGTGATTGGATGCATCACATCCCGCAGCAGTGTTATGCATCCGGCACGCAGATCCTTGCCCTCCATCAGACTGGCCTCCATCTCGACCTCCCCTTTGGTGTTCAGACACGATCCATATCCGGCATTGAAGTTCTCGTCCAGCTCCATGCTACGGACCGCTGCCTCCACGGCGTCCAGAGCGCATCCAGTGCTGCCGTTCTCCGGATTCAAGAGCCGCCAGGCGCAGCGCAGGGCCTGCTTGATGCCCTGGAATTTGCCGGCAATCCGGGAATCGGATATATCACCTGCACCGCCATGGATTAGGAGCATGGGACGTGGCATCTTCCGAGCTGTCGAGATCTGTAAGGCTGGGCCTGCTGGGTTTCAAAAAATCAGACTCCAAAGATGTTGTAGAGCAGCTGGAGTGTCGATAGCTTTTGTTTCGCTGGAGCAGTGAGGGCTATGTATATATATATAAGTATGTATATATGTATGAAGTTCTTTGTTGCACGATAATACCCTATGACTATGGGTATAATCACTTTGTAAGTCGATATATTAATATTTTATCAAAAAGGGGGGGTTTGTTTAGCTTTTTGATTATTTTAAATGGGATTTTCCTTCAAAAAAGTTTTCTTACACAAAGGGTATTGATTAGTCGGCTTTACTGAACTTAACCGAATGCAGTTTTAAAATATTGTTGTTGTTGTCTGAGGTTTCTCTCTTATCCCGCGATAAGAGTCATCAACCTTTTATGGTTTATGGTTTTATATTCCAGTGCTGATACCTAGAGGATCGGGGAATGTTAATCAGGGAAAACATGCATAATTAAACATAAAGTATGTACATATATACTTGCATTCCACTCTTAACCCACTCCATAACAGGCTTAACCCGTTGATGCTCTTCAAGTTGAAGAGTCTTCTTTACACTGAAAATGCAGTTATTTTTTAATCAAGGACTTTTTATATTTAATCAATAACAGGATAAGGTTATATCTTTCGGTCATTAATCGTTGTCATAATTATAGCCATATAGTTCGTAGTCATTATCGTTTTTTTGTGGCAAGCCAAAGTTCAATGGTCGCCACCAGTTCGTGTCGCCACCGGGGGGCATGTCTACCTCCGCCCCTACTCCCTCCGCCACTATGCCTGCAATGATGGAGCAATTAAAGCGAAATATTTAATCAAAATACTGTAAATTGTGGTTTGATTGAGTGGACAATGAACCGTTATTTCACAGGATATAAAATATAATACAAATTTAAGAAGAAATTTAAGTAGAAACTATAAAATATAAGCTTTTAATTCAAGTAAGTAATTAGTTTTAACAGAATTACCTCTAATTGTATGTTGGAATATAGAGCATAAGGTGGGCAGTCCCCAGGTGGGCAGCCCCCCTCCACATAGACACACCCACACTCCTGCATAATTGCAAGTGCATGCCCACACACGCACACACACTCGAGAGTATAATAACATTTTATGGCATCGAACCGTGAGAGGCGTTGCTTGAACTCTTTCTCTTCCTCCGACTCCACATCTAGCTGTCTTTGTTTCGCACTCCTACTCTTTGTTGTTCTCCCAGTCTCCGCGTGGGTCTCAAGGAGCAATTTTGGCAGTCTTCCCCACTCTCCATTTCTCAAGTCTCCTCCCTGCCCTGGCCTTCCTTTTCCTTTGCTTTCTTTCTGTTTTCTTGTTCTTCCTTTTCCCCAGCTTCCCTTGCGATTCCCTGTCTTCCTCTCACTTGGGGATCAAACGTAAATTTCACTTTGAGAAAAATGAGAGCCAAGGAAGAAGAAGCAAAAAAGCACAGCACTAGTAACCGTGCACTGAGAGAAATGCATATCGAAATGCTTGTATATACAAAAATTATTATTATAAAAAATGTGTTTATTTATTCATATTTGAAATAATTTAATATTTTATAATAATAATCATGTTTTGTAATATTTTTTACTGTGTAAAACCGTTAGACATTTTTTTTTTGGCTGGCTTTTGGAGAATTTATAAATCAAAACGTCAAAAGTTGTTAACGGTACCAGAGCGACTGATTTTGAGGTTATGGATAGAGGGAGTCGTCCTTTTTGCGTCCTCACATGACCTGCCCTGCCCCGCACCCCACCGCCGCAAGCACATCATCATAATCATCGGCCATCATTATCGCGTTGAACTGGATAGAAGAAGAGAGAAAATTGGGAGAACGGGTTAAGGGTTACGGGATTAAATGGCGTGAGATGGAATCACAAGGGTCATGGGTTAATAGTTCACGTACCTTTTGGCCTTATCAATCTAATTGGGTGTGAAATGCACATAACAAATGGGGTGAAGGGGCTTGTTATGATTTATTAAAGGGGGCTTGTGCCACAAACAGGTGTACGACTTATTTTAAGGATAATGAGATTAATTAATAAATATTATTAAAGACTTTACGACCTTATTCTCAAGTCAGACTGGGTGATATGATACTCCATCATGTTGCAAGGTTGCACCTGAAGAGCCACCTGTCGATTCCAAGGACTCACAGGACACCAGGAGCTGGCCAAAGCCAAACACAAACACAAACAGGTGCGACAATGATGACAGAGCGGCAGTCCGCTTTTGTTGCGGCTTACGGATGCCACTCAATGGGGTCCATTACTGGTCGGTCGCATCCTTTGCCAGTATTGCCACCTTGTAGTCCTTCGGTCCTTACGTACTTTTTTTCCGGTTCAGTTTACCCGTCAGCACGAAACCGGATAATTTGCTGTCTCTCCGGGAAAATGGGAGACGGGGCAACAAGCTTTCTTTCTTTCCGAGTGATGGCTCTTGACTTTAAACACCTAACGGTACTCGGGCCTTGGGTTTTGAAGTCAATTTCCAATTAAACTTTTGTTGTTGTCTATTGATGCACTGAAAGAAATTCAAGAATTATAAAAATTAATTAAGGAAATAATAAAATATCTTCTAGATTTAATAGAATTAAATAAAAGAAAAATATAATAATTATAATATTAATAATAATATTTATCTTAGATTCTAGATTTTTCTTCAAGTGTCCTCCAATTAAACTCCTCGTTTTGCTTGCCTACTTTTCGGGGCTTGTTGAGAGCGATTTGATACCCTTTTGGCCTGAAATGGAGGTCCTTGAATTGCCAGGATTGGCAAATGGTCCGCCAAGCCAAATCCCCCATATCTGTTACACTCGGACACTCTCCTTTTCCAGATCCTGGCCCAGGACAATGGCCCGGCACCCGGGAGTCCTTTTCTGACGCATTTCACTTAGAACGGCCCCGGTTCACAAATTAAATTGTCAGCTACGCTTTCTCCTTCCACTGGCATTATCCTGTGAGTTTTTCCTTTGGGGCTTTTCCCACTGGACTTTTCCTCAGGATAGCCCACATCCTTGGAACTTGGCACTCGAAATCATTCGACTTGTCTTTGATTTTCGCTGGCGCTGGTTTTGTCTTTCGTCCTTTTGGCTTTGTTCGACCGTTTTCTGGCCACTTGAAAATTAATTTAGACTAAACCTCAGGCAATACCCACAAATATATATATATATATATTATATTTCTTATGTATATATATCTCTGGCAGATAATTGAATTTATCGACTTCCCTCATCCAGTCTTGGCCGTCAAGTTTTAGCCCTGCCTGTTTGTTTGAGCCAAATTGCGTGCTATAATTTAATTTCCTAGCCATTGGCAACCGACTAACTGCAATTTGACTAAAGTAAATATATAACTAGAGTATATATATATATATCTTGTATTTTTTGGCCAACTTTCATCGATTGTTCTGAATTTAGCCAGTTAAGCGATTCAATTTTGGCCAAAATGTAGCAGATTGCAATTAATAAAGGGATGGACCTTGGAAAGCTTAACTTTAATACTATATATAGAGACTATAACTATTTTTATTAAATATTTGTAACTAAATATTATTTAATAAAAGGTCTATATATTTTTAAAATAAATATAAAAGTATTCAATGAAAAAAGACAACACTGCGTATGAGTAATATTTTAAAGAATAAAGGATTTTTATATGAAAAATATTGAGACAGCTTAAAATTAAAAATATATAAAATATCTATATAATATTAAAATATATTTTTTATAATATAAAATAAAAAAAAAACTTAAGGTTCATCTTAATAAAGAACCCACTAGGAGTAATGAACTTTTGTCCTTGCTTTTGGGGGCAACAACAGATGGAATTTACGAGCCGGCTGTGACTTGTCTATTTTCCCAGCTCAGTGTTATCCTTCATCTTGTATCCTGTATATCCTGTATCCTTTATATGTTACATAGTACATATGGCTAACTGGCTTCCTGTTGTAAGGTCCTTGGCGCCTATTCTGCACGCCTAACTAATTCAATTTTAATGTACTTTGGCTGGGGAGTTTTGGTTAATATGGTTTTGGGCCAAGAGATTTCCGTTGGCAGTCAATGATTAAAGCCAGTTTCCTTTGGGCCCTTGTTGGGGATTCAACCTTGGCGGTTGAAGCCAAAAGTTCAAGTTTAATTACATTCGACTTGGTTAAGGAAGTTGTTTTACTTGAAAAGCCATCTTTTTATTAATTTTATTTGATAATGAGGGTCGGTAGAGATGGTTCTTAAAAAGCAATATTAAAATATAAAGACAGATTTAAAATACATGGATATTTCTTTGGCTTGTTTTTATACATTAGACTAGTTTTTAGGAATATTTTTTAAAAAGTATTTTAAATTCTGAGTCTTAAGAAAATCCTTCTTAAAGTTTAGAAATATTTTTCAAGAAGGAACAAGCATATACATATATTTAATTTACTATAAATAATAATAAGTTATTTCTATCTATATCTATTATGATGTATAATCTCTGTATCTCTCTATTTAATAATAAAACTGGCAACTGAAATTATTTATGGATTTATTTGGAAAAACAACTCCTGTATCCTTGTATTCCCAGTTCTCATCTCCCCAACAAGGGGGTAAAGAATAACTTTTTCCATTGCGATTAATTTACTTGTTACTCGCCACGTTGTTGTTTTTATGATTCTTTTTTTTTATTTTTTGTATTTTTTATTGCAGCATGTTTTTTTGATTATACTTTTTTGTTGTTTATGCCTTCTGTTTTGGTGTTCATTATGGGAATGAAGAAATATGAAGCAGCAAATGACAAGCAGCAGTGCGGACTCTCCAAGCCCAGGGGCGTCCAGATTCGAAAGGGGGGGTAAACAAAAGTTGATGGTGGCACAACACTCGTCTGGGGGCTTTACGGTGGGCCGTGGCAGGTGGTAGGGGCACGTGGCAAGAGCTGGTGGCAGGGGCGTCTGCACTGGGCGGGGGGAGGTGGGTGATAAAGTATTTTGCGACGCAGAATGGTTTCACTTCAGGCTCTCGGCATACGTGTCCAGTTTAACTATGACCCATGGGTAACTCAGAAAGGGTTTATGCCTTCCAAGATATCAGGTTTTTGATT